CCCCCCCCCCCAACCTCAAGCATTGCCGCAAGGCTGTTCAACTGGAGGCGCTGACGGCTCCCCTGTCTTGCAATGCGCGTGCGTGTACCACCAGCAAAGTGGTCGTGTCACCGGCCGAGCGCAGTCGGTCGGCGGTGCTGGTCACGGGCACCTCGTCGGGCATTGGCCGGGCCGCCGTCGCGCGACTCGCAGCCTCTGGCTTCCACGTCTTTGCGTGCGCGCCTGCCTGCCTGCCTCCCTCCCTCCCCAGCGAGTCACTATGGGTCGCTCACGTCGGCTGCCGTGGCCACAGGTCGGTGCGAAAGGACAAGGACGCGGCGGCACTGCAGAAACTGGCGGACGAGCTGGGGTGCCGGGACCGCATCACGCCGGTCATGATGGAGGTACGGAGGACAGGCCTCTCCCCATGGGCGCGGCGTACGTCGTTGCTGAGGCCGTGCGTGCGTGGGTTCGTTCAGGTAACGGACGAGCAGAGCGTGGCGGATGCCGAGCAAGTCGTGCACAAGTGCCTGGACGAGCAGGGCCTCAAGTTGATGGCGATCATCAACAACGCCGGCATCGCAGGCAGAGGTCAGCAGCTTCGCCGTCACGTTCTAGTTTCCTTTCTCGCCAACGTGGCTGACCTTTACGCCTTGATGTGCTCTACAGCCCCCGTTGAACTCGTCAGCCCCAAGAACGTGCAGCACATGATCAACGTACTCACCCACGTAGCGTGTTGTGTGTGTGTGTGAGTGAGTGCGTGCGTGGGTGCGTGGGTGTGGCGCGTGGATTGTGTACTAAATAGGCAGCCCCACCGCATCATGGCGGACAGGTGAACGTGATGGGCGTGCTCCACATCTGCCAAGCCTTTCTGCCGCACCTGAGGGCCGCAGGCGGCGGTGCCACGATCGTCAACATCTCCTCGGTGCTTGGCGGCTTCGTGGTTCCCTACCGCTCCGTCTGTACGCGCAACCGTTCAGCTGGCATTGCCCTGTGCCGCCGGTGGCACTGACATCATTGCATCATTGACGGCTTGGTATGTTGTGTGTGGTATCACGGGACTTCTTCCAGACTCGGCATCGAAGGCGGCGATGGAAGCTCTGTCGGACGGGCTTCGCGTTGAGCTCCGGTCGTGGGGCATCAACGTACGCCGCTACATGCGACTCTGTTGGTCGGTCAGCGCTTTTGCTCAGGCTCACACACAATGCGCAGGTGGTGGTCGTGCAACCGGGCTACGTGCAGACCGACATCAGCCTGAACAGCTTTGCCGCTGATCTCGAGTACGTCGTCCGTCGTTGCTCTCTTCTCTCATCGCGCATCCCCTTGTCGAGCTGCAGTTGTGTGACTGCGATTTCGCGCTGGTTGGTACGTGGTCGACAGGTTGGCCAAGTGCCCCAAGGAGAGGGCGGTGCTGTACCCCTACTTCGGGCAGTGGCTCAAGAAGAAGGCGGCGGCCGCTGGTCGAAGTCAGCACATCGATCAGGGCATCCCGCCCGCCGAGGTCGCACACCTGCTCGAGAAGATCATCACCGTCCGTCGGCCCCACGCAAGGCACTCACTCCCTTGTGCGACACACAGCAACAGCTCACCACGCATTCTGCACACACTCACACTCGCCCGATGCCCGCACCAGGTACATGGTAGGGCGCGAGGCCTGGGTCGTACGGCTCTGCCGCGTGTTGCCCACCTTCATCCTCGACTGGGTGTTGTTCACCTACCTGGCCCAGAGCTCATCCTGAGCCACTCGCGACAAGGGATTTAATTTATAAATTAAAAATATGAACTATTTTTGTTTCGGTTTACTTTGAGTCAGATAAGAACACGATGGAGTAGGAGACCAAGGTTCGCCAACCACTCCCTCCGTTTGGGTTGGAGACGACTCACCCCCCCCCCACGGGGCGCCTTGGAACAGGTGGAGTTGATAGACACCGCGCAGTTCACCGAGCTCGTGGGCTCAGGCGGGTTCGGGCTTATCATGGGCCACGCCAGCCAGCCTCGCGCTCTCAAGCTCTACTACGACGCTGGAGACAGCAGCGCCGCGCGCCACGAGGCCTCGCTCATGGCCGCAGCGCGCACCGCCATCGGCCGCGTGAGCCACCTTATGACGCAGCTGGGCGGCGTGCCACACCCCCTAGGGCACACCTCGGCCGCGTCTGTCGCCCACAACCACCACTCCTACGCCTGCGCGCTCGAGATGGAGCGCGTCCGAGCCCCACCAGGCGTTGAGCCGCCAGGCCTCGTACACGTCATCCTGCGCGCTGGCTACGAGTCGAGGCTCGACCGCCACTGGGGCCGCGACACCAACAACCGCAGCATCGGGGCGCACAACCCCTCGCGCGGCTTCTTCGCCACGCCGGCCTACCTGGAGTCGCTTCTGGGTGCGCTCCCGGCGGAGGTCAGGGGCGACCTGGTGCGCGTCGCCGACGTCGTCGAGCGGTGCGGGTTCATGTGGGCCGCGATCGTGGCCTTGGGCAACGTCGTCCCTCTCGACGTCGAGTTCCTACTCGGGCTCGACGCCGCTGGGCAAAGGCTGAGCGTGTGGGCGCTGGACTACAACCTGGCCCAGGCGGTGCCGGCCGACGCGACGGCCGAGGCCATCGCCAGGCTGCTGGTGGTCGGTGTGCCCGAAGCCGTGGGCGCGGGGCTCGACCTCTACATTCCAGATGGTGACGGTCCCTGGTTCGAGGCGTGGAAGAAGGGCGCCACCATTGCCGTGGCCCATTGTCGCGGCACTGGCCTGGCCTCGCCACAAACGCTCCACGGCCTCATCCTCGCGATCGAGCGACTTCAAGATGAGTGAAGTGCAGCTTGAACCATGTAGGACGGCCACCACGGCGCGTATGTAATGGGTTTATTGACGAGGGGCGACAAAAGGGTGGCGACACCTCGGGGGCTAATTGTCATAACGCCTGGCCGGGGGGCCATCGGGGTCCTCCTCGTCCTTCATGGTCTGGAAGGCCCGCGTCTGTCGCGGCAGGCGCAGCACGGTCGACCCCCTCTTCTTCCACAACTGATGAACTCCCAAAACCACGCCGGCAAGGGCCAACATAAGAAAACCCAGGGCAATGAGTCCGGCGACGACGACCCATGCTACTAAGCCCCCATCAATCTCTGCGTGTGTGTCGTGTGCGTCGTGTGTCGTGTGATCAGACCACCATGTAATGTTCTTTTGATTGAAGGGGATTGAGGCCCTCCCGGCATACCCGAATCAGTGTATCGGCATGATACAGTTTCATTGAACAGGCGGCACTCACACTCGAGCTGCATTGCAACACCACAGAGAGGGTAAGACGATGATTGGGTGAGGGGAATAAAACGTAAGTGATGATGGGGAGGGGCAGAACGAGGAACTTACGGTGTAGAAGAACTCCAGATCGAGGTCGTTGAGGCAAAGGCAAAATTGAAGCGAACGCACCGCACTGCGCGAGAGGCAGTGCAGCACGCGCGGGTCGTGCAGCGAGTGCTGCGAGGTGTGATCACCACGGGTGAGGACGAAGGACGAGGCCAAGAAGAAGGTGAGGGCAGTTACGAGAAGAAGAGAAGAGGGCATGGTGGTGTGGGGTGACAGTTGTCGAGTGCAGGTCTTTTTTTGGTTCTCGTGAAGCTGAGGTTTCACCGAAACTTGTGTTTTCCAGCTGTTTTCCCACCTTCAAAACGTCGACAGTAACTATTTCAACGGTCGTCTTGTTTTCCCGCCAAAAGCCTAAAGGGAAATAAACATTTTAACATAATACCTCGAAGAAGATGAGCACCAGGAGACCATCAGCTCTTGAAGATGGAGGTGTGGACTTCTTCGCGGTAGCGGGCGCGAAGCAGGTGTTGAAGTCGTTCAACAAGTCGACCCTGACCCAGCTGTGGTGCCACTGCGCCCGGGCCAACCAGGCCGCGGCCCCGTCAGCGCGGCGCGACCTCATCGCCGGCCTGCGGAAGGTGGTCGAGCAGGCGGGCAACCGGCACCTCACCGAGCTGCCCTCGCTCGACGTTCTGCGCAGCGTGGCCGTCGGCCTCAAGGTGCCGCTCACCCGGAACAACCCGAGCAAGGTCGAGTGCGCCAAGCGCATCACCGAATACCTCCAGGACAATGGGCTCGACTTCATGCTCGACAGGCTCGACGACGCCCAGCTGGCTGCCCTGTGTGAGGTATTTATTTTTTATTTTTATTTTTATTTTTATTGGACATAGCATTTTATTGGCTTATTCTATTCTAAAACATTTATGTATGAGGCATTGGGGATGGTGCTGGCGGTGGGCGAAGGCGAGCAGCCGCTCGACCGACACCGCCGCAGCCTTAGCATTCGCGCGGCCATCAACAGGTACGTAGGCCTCTCTCATCATGCTCCAGACTCTGCATTCTCATCACCGTGACACGACACGCACGACACCGACACGCGTACGCGACACGCATGACACGATACCACACGTACGACATGCACACCACTGAAGTGCGGGACTGCACTCCTTCATGGCGTCGCTCGATGTAGCGCTGGTCGAGCAGATGGCCAAGGACGTGGGCATGCCGCTGACCGAAGACCACCCGGGCGACAAGGTGTCCAAGAAGCGCAATAAGAAGGGCGCCCTCATCACTTACATCCTCACGACCGCGCACCAAGGCGGCCATCAGGCCGGCCCCGGCTCCTCCACCGCCGCGGCTGCCGACGAAGTAGCAAAGGAAAAGACGGAGGAAAAGACGGAGGAAAAAGGTAAGGAAACGGAGGAAAAGATTGAGGAAAAAGGTAAGGAAAAGGCGGATGGAGAGGAGGACGGTGAGCTGGACCTGGACAATCTGGCCCAGTACCCGCTGGCCAAGCTGAAGGCCTACTGCGTGGAGGAGCAGCTTACGGTGGCCAAGCCCGCCACCAAGAAGAGCTACATCGCCGCCATCACGGCCCACAACGACCGACTCGCCCGCGAAGAGGAGGAGGCCGAGCTTCATAAGCAGAAGCGGAAGGAGAACAAGATGAAGGAGAAGGAGCTGATCACCGCCACGACCTCTCCGGCTGTGGCTTCCGCGCCGCCATCGTCTTCTTCATCGTCGTCGTCGGGTGCTGCTGCAGCCGTAACGAGCCCCACGCCGAAACGCTACAAGATGCTGACGCTGGTCAAGAGCGAAACGCTGGGCGCCAAGACGGCCGTCGCTAGCCCCGCGCCAGCGCGTCAAGAAACCACGACACCCCAGACGCCCACGAAGGCTCCCGTCGCTGAGGTGTGTGTGTCATGTGTGTCGTGTGTGTGTCGTGTCGTGCGTGCCATGTGTGTCGTGTGTGTCGTGTCCTAACTAAGATGCTACAAGGTGGCTACGCCAAAGAGCAAAGGTCGGAAGAGAGCGAGGGAGGAGGAGCAGGCGCCCAGGAAGGAGGCCCCGCTGGCGCCGGCGAGCTCGAGCTCAGGTACCAGCAATGACGACGCTGTGTGCGAGGTGCTCTCGGGCATCGGGCTGGCCAAGTATGCTGCCAAGTTTGCCGCCGAGGTACGCGTGTCATCCACACGGCCGATGGTGATTGACGATTGATGATGATGACACTGAATGCCATCGTCACTCGTCGTCATCGTCAGGAAATCGATATGGCGGCGCTGCTTCTTCTTGATGAAGGCCACCTGGTCGCGCTCGGCATGCCGCTGGGGAGTCGCATCAAGCTGCTCCAACAGATCAGCATTCTCAAGGAGGAGGAAAGACAGCGCCAGGGCAGCAGCAGCAGCAAGAAGCCCAGGAAGGCCGAAGCGAAGTCGGACGAGGAAAACGAAAAAGAGAACGAAAACGAAGACAAGAACGAAGAGAACGAAGACGAGAAGGAGGCGGAGGCGGAGGCGCCAAAGCCCGTGCGCAGGGCAAAGCGCCGCCGTTCGGAGTTCGAACAGCTGGCCGAGCAGCAGAAGAAATGGGAGCGGCGCCTCGAGGCCAGAGAGAAGAGGAGGAGCTTCACGCCGGACCCACTCGGCGACTTGGTCCTGCAGGAGGGCGGAGGCGAAGCCGAGAAGGAAGAAGAGAAGGAGGGCGACGTGCTGCAGCCCAACCAGGAGCCGGTCGGCGTGGCGGGGTTGGCGAATGACACCGCCGGCGTGATTGACCTGGTTGGCGCGTGAGCGTCATGACCAGATCTGGCAAATGAACAAAATGCGGTACTTTTACTTGAAACGGGGTCCGACAAGGCGCTAACAAAAATGGGGGTGTCCACTCACACATCACACTCAATCACACTCACACTCGCTACACATGTACATCATCGTCCTCGAGGGCGTCGATCCGCTTCTTGAGCTCCATGCCCAGCTCGAGCTTCTTGCGTTCGTACTCGGCGAAGAGCTGGTGTCGCCGGTCCTCCAGCGAAGCCTTAGGCGTCGTTGGTGTTGTCTCTGCCGATGAGGGCGCAAGGACGTTGAACGAAGCCGTCAGACCACCGATCGAGACGATAAACTCTCCCGGCTCGATCGTTGGCGCATCATCCTGGGGGGGGGGAGCGTATTAGGGCACACAACGACACGCGCGCACACGCACCACCGCACACGCACCACCGCACACGTACATGCACACGACCGTGCGCGAACGATGGAGGGGTCACGTACAATGCCGATGAAGGACATGTCGGTCTCGTCGAGGGTGAATTGCACCTTGACCGACTGACCGGCGGTGATGTTGAGCTTGGTGAAGCGGCGCAGCATCTTCACCTCAGGCGCCACCGAGGCGTACACGTCGCTCAAGTACTGTAGCGCGTTGTGTCATCATCAGCAACCGACCGAGGCGGCGGTCCGGTGTGCGTATCGCGTGTTGTGTCATGTGTGTGCGCGTGCGGCGGTGTGCGAGTAAAGAGTGAGTGGCGTACCAGCTGTACGACCTCCATGCCAGCGACCTTGCCGGTGTTTTTCACCGTCACGGAGACGCCAACGCTCTGGCCCATGCGCACGTTCAGGGAGGAGACCGTAAGGTCCGAGTACTCAAAATCTGCAAAAAGAACGAAAGAGAAGAGGGGGGAGGAAGAGAGAAGGTCCAATTCAGTCCCGTGGCGCGTGTTTTTAGGTCCGAGTCAAGCCGTGCTGCGTACTGCTGAACGAGAGTCCGAAGCCGAAGGGATACAGAGGCGTGCCCGGGTCGGAGTAGGAGTGATAGTAGGGCACCCGGATGTCGCCCGTGCGCTGTGAGCCACACCATCGCGACGGTGACGTGTCATTAACGCTGAAACCTCCGAACAAGAGCAAGAACAAGAACTGTAGAAGCGAAGGCAGTGTGCGTACAGCATGGTAGGTGTAGGGGAGCTTGCCCGACGGGTTCGTGATGCCCCACAAAACCTCGGCCACGGCTTGACCGCCCTCTGCAAGCGTTGCATGTATGTGTGCGGTGGTGCGTGTGCGGTGGTGCATGTGCGTGTGCGTGTTATCGGGTCATCCGCTGCGTTAGCACGGGCGAGCTTGGGTGTGAGCAATTGGCGAAGTCGGTGAATGAAAAAGTACGGGGGCCTGGCAGGTAGGCGTGGATGATGGCGTTGGCCGAGGCAATGACGGACTGGGGCAGGATGCGGGGCCTGCCCTCGACCAGAACGATGATCATGGGCTTGCCCAGCGACGACAGGTTCCGCAGCAGATACAACTGTTACCACGCATCAGGGGGCAGGTCAGACCAGCGCCGCGCACCAAAGCGAGCGCAGGCTGAGACTAGGCAAGAGAGAGCACCTGCGAGGGTGAAAGCTCGAGGCTCTCGATGTCGCCGTCGTCGGTGTTGACCGAATCCTCGCCGACGGTCAAAATGAGAAGGTCGGCCTTCTGGGCCTGCAGATACAGCATACGAACACACACACACGCGCGCCGGTCAGAAACACACACACGACACACGACACACTCGGACGGAGAGAGAAAGGGGAATGCTGACCAAGTTGTAGGCGTCGGCCATGGCCACCTCCGGGCAATCCGTGAAGTTGCAGCCCAGCGAGAATCCGACGGTCGAGCCGGCGGGGGCCTGCTGGTTGATGTTGAGCAGCAGCGTGGACGAAAAGGCATAGGCGCCCCACTCAGCTTCGCCTATTGCGTGCAAAAGAGAAAAAGAAAGAGAAAAAGAGAAAAAGCGTGTTAATCGCAGCACTTACGACCCAAATGGGTTCGGGGGAGGGACGCACTAGCGCCTTGCTTGTGGAAAGTATAGCCTCCGCTCAGTCCGCCAATGGTGTTGCCTGCGTGCCAAGACCACCGCATACAAAGCGGTCAAGAAGAAGCAAACGAAAAATAAAGAGAAAGAGAAAGAGAAACGGAGCTCCAATGAACAATAACAGGACGGTACCGGTGGGGCCGGAGAGGATGATGTTCTTGTAGGTGCTGTTGAGCGGCAGAATGCCGTCATTCTTCAAGAGCGTAACCGACTCGCGCGCTACTTGAATGGCAAACTCCCCGTCTGCAAATAAACGATGAACGATCAATTGATTAGCCCGCATGAGCTTGGGGGGGGGGCGTGATGGCACAAAGAAATTGAGGGCACGTACCGGCGTTGCTGCCCACAGTGGGGATGTTGGGGTTGGTCATGCTGCCGTAGGGGTTGTCAAAGAGACCTGGAAGAAGAAGAAGAAGGGTCACGTATGCACAGGTCAGCTGAGCCCAAGCCCCACCCACGCGCACGCGCTACATTCGCTGGGGGGGGGCAAACGCACCGAGCGCTTTCTTGAGGGCGAGGATGTCGCCGGCAGCCTGGTCGATGAGCTTCTGAATCGTCGGTGACGTCTGCGCCAGGGAGTACAGGGTGTCCGCAAAGCTCAGGTCCTGCCGGCACATTGACGACACGGTGGTGCAGTCTCCGGTCAGCGAAGGGCGGGCTCATCGTGTGGGTGGGTGGGGTGTGAGGCCGCGACGAGGTTCTCCCTGTCGACAACAAAGAACGCACCTGGGTGTTCATGCTGAGTTCGACACCAGCCTGCACGGCCAGGGCGACGGCCTTTTCCGCGGTGGGCGCAACGTGGTGGAGGGTGCGGAGATCGTCGATGCCTCCCGGACCACTGCGCGCAGTGAAGTAGTTAAGTAATTAATTAATGGTGGAGCGAAAGAGCGAAGAGCGCACATACCTGGTGATGACGCCGGTGAACTTGAGCGAAGTGCGCAGCATGGTCTGGAGGAGGTCGCCCGAGGCGTGGATGGGCACGCCGTTGATCGACCCGGGGCCGATCATCACGCTCGGCGCGCCGGCGGCGATGGCCGCCTCAAAGGGCGGCATGAAGTAACGCTTCAGCATGCGCGTCGAGATCTGGTGGTGGCAAAGGCGGTGAGAGCTCTCAGAGCCGTCAGATGTGGGCCGTGACTGCGAACACGTACCCAGGAGGTGGACTTGGCCTTGCCCGAGATGGGGTCACCGACGCCGATGAAGTGCTTGAGCATGGAGGCGACGTTGGTCGGGTTGGCACCACCAGGCGAGAGCGTAGTGTTGCCCTGGAGGCCCAACACCGTGGCCACGCCAAGCTGCGCAATGAGGTACGGGTCCTCTCCAAACTAATATTGTGTGGCGCGCAGATCACATTAGCCATCGAAGAAGAAGAAGAAGAAGAAGAAGAAGAAGAAGAAGAAGAAAGAGCCGGCTTGACCATGTGGGCGGGCACGTACGGTTCCATACATCGACGGCCAGAGGGGGTTGAGGGCAACGTCCAAGATGGGCGAGCCGACCAAGGGCAGGTTCGCGGTTCTGTACATGAAATCATTAGGTAATGACTCAAAAATATATAGTAGAGTAATAATGTAATCATAAAACTAACCAATCACGCAAGCCCTGCGTACCTGGAGTCCTTGGCGGCGATGGCAGCTGCCTTGGTCACCAGCGCAGGGTTCCAAGTGGCGGCGAGGCCGATAGCCTATTTATATATATATACACCAGAACCCAAAAGCGAGGGTTGTTGGATCTGACGAAACGGAAACAGCAGCTTGGGATGCTAGGACGTACGTGAGGGAAAAGCGTAGCGCCGTACACGTAGTTCGCACCTGGAGCATGGCCACAGGTTTGGACGTGAATCACCGCACAAGCACCACCACCAGCGCACAGGCACACGACACACAAGCCAACATCCAAGGGGGCGTACCGTGCACGTGGTCAACGTAGTAGAGAATTGGTACGGACGAGTTGTCCAGCCCGGTGGCGATCTTCTGAATGGTGTTGGTGAACTCGATCCACTACGCACACGTGCGGCCCATATGGGTGTGGTTAGAGTGGCAGTAGGGGCTTAGTGGGGTGAGTCGTGAGTCGTGCCTGGGTGACGTTGAAGCCAGAGACGGGAGTGCCACCGGGGGTGAGAGGAAGCATGCCAGCGGCGAACGGGCTGATGGACAGACAATTGACAAACGAACAGCGTGAGCGCCAATGGCGATGTGCTGATGGAGATGATGGTTGACGAGGCCAGCATCAAAGTCGTACCTGTTGGCGATCGAACCGATGCCATATTGGCTGACGACCTGCGGCAGGTTCACAAGAATGAGTTGCGGTGCGTGGTTGGAGAGCAGAGCAGTGCAGAGCAGAGCAGAGCAGAGCAGTGCACGCCGCACCTTCTGGAGCAGGTTGGTGTCCAGAGCAGCGACGGGGTTGCCGCTCTTGTCCTTCTGCAAAAAATAGGAGATGTCCAACTACGCGGGGCCACCAAGAGGTACGGAGAATGAATTAAAGTCTAAGTAAATTATACATCAAATGGAAAGGGGAGGGAGAAAGGAGGGAGCGGGGGAAGGGGGCACCTGGGTCATCTGGCCGATCTTCTCCTTGAGGCTCATGGCAGCAAGTTTCGTGTTTACGAATTTGCGAATCATAGGATCGCTGAAGGGGTCACCCGCAGGAGCTGCAGCCGCAACTGCGAGCGTGAGGAGAAGGAGCGCGCCCACGCCGACGGCGCCAATCCGCTGCATCTCTCTCTCTCTCTATTCTCTGCCTTTCCCTCTATCCCTCTCGATTGACCCTGACTTGCCGCGGTGCTGCTTCTCTGCTCTTCACCCGAAGAAGATGTTGTGCTCACCACCACACAAACAAACGCCGAGAGCAGAGCCTGGGACTGGGGCTGCCGCAACGATCGCCCCGAGACTGAGTATTGCAAAAAATTAAATACAGAAAAAAGCTGGCGAAAATCCTCGCTATTGCAATCGTGGTTATTTTCCGGATTTTGGAGCTGAGCCAAACACGCACACGGGGGTAAGGCACACGGTGCAACTCTCTTTTCACTGCAGTGAAAACGGAGACGAAGCACGCCAGGAGGAGAAGAACCAGGCCGAGGTGGAAGAGGAGAACGAAAAGTGAGGCGTGTGCTTCGTTTCTTGCACTCGGCCAAGAACGACGTTTGACAAAAACACAACGCACACAACGCATCAGCATCAACGTGCACTGACGCAGCAGCGAAGCAGGTTCGAAGAAGAGAGAAAAACAAAAGGAAATTGTCCAACCCCGACATTGCGTATTGGGTAATACTCCACCCTGTGCCCGACACAGCTTGCATCACCAAACCAACTCAACAAGCCACACGAGAGAGGCTCAAGAAGAAGCCAAGCTTTTTACTATTTTTTAATATCATGATGGAAGGAGTGGCCATACCCGAGGCGACTGTCTCGACGCGAGCACGCCGCGACACCATATCCGCGGGCTCCACCATCAAGAAGTCCAAGTCCGAACGCGTCGCCCAGGCGCCCACGCCGATGGCCTTCAACTTTGGGTCGCTCCCTCTCGAGGACCGCTTCGAGTGGGCGGGCAAGAACGTCATGATAGAACGACCTGTCAAGGGCGGGAGCGGCGACTATGCACCCGTGCTCGAGACCCCCTCGTGTCCAGTCGCCGCAGCGGCGTCGGCCGCGTTGGCGGCTCTGCTGGCCGTGTACAGCCACAACAACTGGATGCCCGACGACGAGACCGACTGCTGCCTCAAGTGCCAGAAGGAGTTCACTATGACCTTTCGACGGGTACACCTTTGCCCTTCTCTTTGTGAGGGGGGGGGTTAGCCTTCGCTTTCGCTTTCGTTTTATTTTTTTCTGTATTACTTATTTTTATATTTTTTTTTGTATTTGTTGTGCTTGTTTTGTTCCGGTTTATGTCCCTTCTTATTTTCCTGTTTGTGGATCTTTCTCGCACAATTCGTTCATTGGCGAAAAAAAGAGAGGATATTTAGCCTGCCTGACTCACGTGTTGTCTCTCTGTGCGACGTGTGCAGCATCACTGTCGCAACTGCGGCCTCATATTCTGCGCTCTCTGCACTCCTCAAGCCATCACGCTGCCCGGTACGTCCTCCACTTCGCTGTTTCCCCCTCCATTCCTCTCTTTTCTTGTCTTGGTCGGCCCTCGTCGCTTACTTGGCGCCGTGTTTCGCGTGCGTTCCCATGGCAACAACAGACAAGGGCTATCGAGAGAGCGTGCGGGTGTGCGAGGCGTGCTTCAAGGTGGTGAGCGAATACCTCCAGGTCAAGTACTCGGAGGATTGAACGTGCTCTCCTCTTCGCTTCATTCTCTTCACTTCTCCTTCCTCTTTTATGCCACACACATAACCAATGTACAATCACACGTCGATGACATCACCCAGACATACACATAGTGTACCGTGCAGCCTCAAAGAGTGGCTGCACAGATAACAACAAATACATACATACGTAAAATAATAATATTTGGTTCTTTGTCGAATATTTATATATATTTGCTTGGTACCGATCAACATCTACTCCATGTTGGCGAGGGAGATCTTCTCGCCAGGCTTGAAGGCCGGCAGACCGAGGTAGGGGCAGCTCGCGCATCGGAACGCGTCGCCCAAATAGCACTGCACACGCCACACACAGCACGACACGACACCACACACGCACATGCATCAGTAAAAGGGAATTCAGGAGTGAGTGGAGAATGACGGTGGGCGTACGCTGCCACAGGACGAAGCCTGTTCGGGGGTCTTCTTCTTGACCTCCTGCCCGGCCTCGAGCTCCTCGGCAAGGCCGCACGAGCAGTCCTTGCACGCCTTCTTCTTGCCGCTCGCGCTCGTGCCGCAATCAAACACTGAGACACAGCGGCGACACAACACGGGAATTGTGTGGTCAGCTGGCGGCTGTGGACTTGACTTACAGGGACACAAACACACCACACACACAAGAAAGCGCGATTGGGGGTTTGCTGTGGCTTACCCTTGTCCGGCTTGGCCAAGTCCTCCTTCTCGAGGAGGGCGTCGTCTTCGATCAGATCGCCGTCGTCGGCGTCCAGCTTCCAGGTCGAACCGACAGAAACGGGCTTGGCCACGGGGATGCTCGCATCGATCGTGTCATCTGTTGGTCGCGAAAGTCGGTGAGACTACTCAAACCATTACCACCACCAGCGGAAGATGGAACGGCAGTTGTTGCGTTGAGGGCGCGCACCTGCGGAGAGGGACCAGACGGGGGCAGCGGAGACGGGCTTCGAGGACTTGGGAAGCGAGAGTGCGGCCGAGGCTCCGAACTCCCAGTTGGGCTTGACCGAGCGAATCTTTACGTGAAGAAGAAGAAAAAGAAGAAGAAGGACAAGAATCATCAATATCAACACCATCCATGCTAACGATGGGTTGTGCGTTGTGCCTTACCTCGTAGGTGGCGATTTGGGTCTGCACGTCGGCGGAGCCATTGAGCGCGGGGAAGGAGGCCACAGACGAGGCGCCCTGGGTGTTCTGGAAGGTAGTCGACGTGAAGCCCGAGATGAGCAGCGCGCTCTCCACCTCCTTCTCCGTGCGCAGGGCCGTCACGATGCCCTCCTGTCATCATCAAAGCAGCAGCACAATTGTGGGGCACATGAATACCGGTGGTTGTAAAGGAGGGTGGGGGGGGGCGGTGTTGTGGCGTACCTTGGAGCCGAGCAGCAGAGGCTCGCGCAGGACGAGCGAACCGGAGGGCTTCAGCACGCGTGCCAGCTCGAACAGGAAGTCGGTCTGGTGGCCAGCAGCCGAGGCGCCGATCGAAATCACCATGTCGTACGTCGACGAAGGCTCGCCAATTTTATCTTCAAAGATAATTGTCATCATTTATAAAATCTTTGCATCGTAGCAGCGCTTGGTGGCTGGAGGAGTGTGGAGAGTGCAGTGGGACTTGCATCCAGATGAAGACAGATAAGGGTGGGTGGGTACCGTCGGTGATTTGGGGGCGAGAGATGACCTTGACAGCGCCATCGCTGCCGACGATTTCCTGCAGCTGTGAAACTTCCGGTGGCACGGCCGGGGCCGGCGTAATGTAAAGGATCTTATCCCCCTTTTTGTACGAAGATTGATCGGCCATGTTGCTGCTTGTTGTTTGTGATTATTTGTTGTAATAATGAACTAGATAAAAATAAATGATGTTTTGGTACACTTTTCGCGGCGAAATAGCAACTCCCAACTCCGAGTAAAAAATCGTCACAACGTGGCGAGCGCACGGTCAGGTGCACAGCTTCAGCCATGCAGGAGGGAGCTGACGTGAAGACGCTTCTGTCTTCCCTCTCCACGGTCACCCAACGCCTTCTGTTGAGTCACCTGGTCCCCGAAGAACCGCAGCCAGCGCGGGCCGCCCCGGTACTGTCGCGGCTGTGCGAACTGGTCGAGGCACGGGGGCCGCAGCAGCTGGGCGCGAGGCTTAACTACCACGTGCTGCGCAGCCTCTGCGCCACGCTTCAGCTCGAGCTGGCCTCGACAGCCCCGACCAAGGACGAGTGTCTCCGACAGTTCGTCGCCTTTCTCAGCGGGCGTCCTTCTGCCTACGCGCTACGTCGGCTGGCCCAGGAAGACCTTGACGTTCTTTTTGAGGTGCGTTCCTGTGTATCCCCTGGGCGTACGTGCGCGTGTGCCGCACTCATTCTTCGAAACACGCAGACTTTAGCTCCGACCGAGCAGAAGCCAACCACGAAAACCGCCCTGCGCAGGTTCCTCGCCACGGCCATCACAAGGTGCGCCTGTCTTGTGTAACCCTCGTGTGTGTGTCGTGTGGTCTACTTGTGAACTTGTTTAACACAAAAGTGAATTCAAATTTAAAAATGTGAAGCACGGGCGTGCGGTCGTGGCTGGACTCCCTGCCCAAGGAGCTGGCTGAGCGCGTGGCGTTCGATCTGGACAAGGAGCCGGCCGAGGGAGCGAGTCTCACCGACACCATTCTCACCGCCCCTCCCAAGCGGGAGTTCAACGTGGCCGACCCCGATGACGAAGTCATTCAAGATGGCGATGGCGATGGCGACGACGACACCACCGTCCCTACCAAGAAGGAGAAGAAGGAACCGATCAGGAGGGGTCGAGCGATGCGACAAGTCGCCAAGAGGCGCAGGTCTGCGCCAGCGGCAGGTTCCAGCAAGCCACCGGCAAAGAAGAGGAAAAGGCGAGCCAGCGAGGTGGCTCAAGATGAAGAAGAGGACCACGAGGAAGAAGAGGAGGAAGAGGGAAGCGAGGATGCCGCCATGTGCCATCCTGAGGTGGCGACGCTGCTCCAGACCATCGGCTTCCATCGCCACGTCCCCCTGTTTGCCGAAAAGGTGCTGTCGCCACCCCACCAACCGCGTTTGCGAAGCTGGACTCCTCTCATGCAGTAACCCACCAGGGAGTCACCCCAGAGCGGCTGATCGCGATGAAGGAAGCGGACTTGACCAGGGAGCTGGGCATGAGCCTCCGCAACACGCGGAACTTGACTGAGTGCCTGTCCACCCTGCGCAGGGAGCTGGCCGAATGCAGGGCCGTGACGCACCACCACCATCATCATCGTTGCCGTCGTTGTGGTTGTCATCACCTTCGCCGACGTCATTGTCATCGTCATCGGCGCCGCAGACGGAACAGAGGAAACCTAGAACCAGGGCCGAGGTCCGTGACCTCGTCACCCAAGGCCGCAAGTGGGCGCGAGCGGACTCCTGCAAGGCCGGCAAGCAGATCACCATCAGCAAACTGCTCCCCTCGCTCCACCCAGCCAAGACCAGGCCTTCCCACCATGTCAGTTCACCGCCCAAACCAGTCGGCCAGACCACCAGCGCTGGCGATGCCGCCCGCTCCAGCGCAGCTGTGGTGCCTGGCACAGGCCGCCTTGTCCGCAGAAGGCGCCGCATGCTGGCCCCCGCACCCGACGAAGGCCCAGATGTGGAGGTGGACCTCGATGTAGAAGACGACGTGATCGTGATGGAGGAGGACGGGATCGAGGTGGGCGGGGAGAGGCCTGAATCTATGCACGTAGGAGCCATCCAGCGATCGCCAGCAGGAGATCATCAACGATGACCTCGAAGAAGAGGAGTGGGACCCCACCGCCACCCAAAACTCAGGGTACAACCTGACCAAGAGGTTGGCAGAGGGAGTTGGCCCAGAAGAGGACTAACCATGCACGCTCCACCGCACACGCACCACACGCACAGGACCACTGCATAGAGCACTCCAGCACCTCTTGGCCACCCAAATGCATGATTCTTGGCCACTTTGAGCAGCGCTGGTCTTGTCATCACTGTTGTTGCTGTGGTGATGTGGCATTGCAAGCGCCTGGGTTTGTCAACTTTGTGCAGGTGCTCAATCGCAAATCCAGGGCCAGCTGGTGTCAACAAAGAGTCAGGTCTTGCCATCGAGCTGGGATGCTCCGTTCTCAGTTGTCCTGCGTGCCATTTTCCTGACAACTCTTTCTCTAAAATAAAAAAGTAAATTAAAAACACAGCGAGGAGATGGGGAAGGTGTTCAAGACGTACTTGTCGGGAAGCGTCGTGTATACGTGCTCCAGATGCAACTCCCACCTCGCCCGAGCCGACGAAATAGTGTCCAAGGTACCAAATCACCCATTCACAATCTCGGAATGAACCATTTAATCGTAACTCTCCCAACAGGCTTTTCAGGGACGACACGGCCAGGCGTACCTCTTCAGTTCTGTGTACGCCCCTACCAATTTGTTCAGATTTATGTATTTAATTAATTTTATTTTAGTAATATTCTGGAAAAATATCCCTTTAGTAATATGCGTGGTGCAGCGTGAACGTGAGTACAGGCCCGCGTGAAGACCGAATACTGCTGACCGGCCTCCACACGGTGGCCGACATCTCTTGCAATGACTGCCACAGCGTCGTTGGGTGGAAGTACGTACGTGTACCACCGCTCCAGCCACAGGTGTGCAAAAGTGCTGATGGCGCTTTGGGGCGTGTTTGTGCACGCGTGCATCACAGGAGGAGGCTGTGGAGGAGAGCCAGCAGTACAAGGTGGGCAAGTACATCCTCGAAAAGACCAAGCTCGCCAAGAAGACAGACCTGCAGTAGCCGTGGTAGCACGCTGTCCCGTGCCAGACTTGTAATTGTAGCCCACAAGAAAGGAGCGAGTTTTATTGCTTCAATCTCACACAATGGATTTTGAGGAGAAGATGAGGCTGGCAGAGGCCATTCACACTCTGCCCCCGCACCGCCTCGCCGAGATCGTGAGCATAGTCGCTCGTAGTGTTGAGCCACGGGAGGAGATTGAAATCGACATCGACCTTCTGTCGCAAGATGTGCTGCTTGAAATTAAGCGTGTTGTCGATGACGAGGTACATGGCGCAGCCAGCAATCAATCTCCATCCGAGGCACTAATCCTCCTCGTTCAGAAAATCAGTACCGAGCCGGCGAGTCGTGGCGCCACAGACTAGCCCAATTTCATTATCGATTTCAATCTGTACATTTATCTTGTATTTTATTAATCGTTTAATGAACGCACCTCACGCCCAACCACTTCGTGGTTGCTAATGGCGTGGCAGCAGGCATTGTGTTTGTGGCGAGCACCATTGCTGCGGTCTACAACCTTAAGGTACAGTACCAGGTGCCGCGGCCGCAACGAAGCAAAACTCCTGTGCTTGGCCGTGGTGGGAGTTGTAGCAGCGCCCATCATCCCAGCCAAAAGAGTACCTTCCTCTCCGACGCTATTCATCGCGCCGGTGGCTCTCGCCTCGCCGAGCACGATGGCGCGAAACAATCGTTCTAATTTCGCAAATCGCGATTGGCCGGCACGTGCACCAATCGAAAAATAGAACATCTATTCCCCGGTTGCATTTCCCCATCGCGCCGGTGGCTCTCGCATAAAAAGCTGGCGCAGACTCACTCCCTTTGTAATCTTTTAGCTTTTGCCCTCTGTCAGCACATTCACACGCTCTTCCAAGAACTCATGTCGTCGGAGGACCGGTTGAAACTGCGCACCAGCGACAACGGCCCCGAGGAGAGCTCGACTTCCTCGCGGACCATCGAACGCGACAGTGAGGATTCCTTCTCGCTGCCGGCCAGTGACAATGTACCTTCTTTACACCCTCTCTTTTGATTCCTGTCAGCTCCGGCCAGGTCTTGATGACATTGATCTTAACTCCTATGTGGTGTGGTGGCAGGACGAAGAGGATAACCAGCTGCGGATAAAGGTGGGCGATGATACTGTACTCCTCAAGGACCACCTGCGAGAGCAGAAGGGGATAAGCGCGCCCGACTATCGCCCGATCGAGGTCGTGGTCTCCCACCTCACGTGCACCGTCAAGGCGCCTCCGCCACGGCAGAAGCAGCTCACCGTAGGCACCCAACTCAACATCGTGGCCAAGGTCAAGGAGAAGAAGGAAGAGCTGGACCTTCTCCACGACGTCAACTTTTACCTCAAGCCCGGAGAGATGACGCTCCTGCTCGGCGCACCAGGTACGGCCCCCACCTCAAAAACGGCTTTCCGGAGTTGGTAACAGTTTTGGACTGACTCCTATCTCGTGCCAGGCTGCGGGAAGAGCACTTTGCTCAAACTCCTGGCGGGCAATCTGCCACACGGCGATAAGAAAGGAACGCTGTTGTTCAACGGCCAGGACCCAAGCCAGGGCAACTACAAGCGTTCGATCTCTTTCGTGCCCCAATCCGACACCCACATCGGTACGCCCCCTCCGTTTCTTGAACGTCTTCTTTCTTCGTTAGCTTCGCTTTAAGCTAATCGGCCCAATTTCTTTCGGCACACGGGCAGCTCAGTTGACGGTGAAAGAGACGCTGCGCTTCAGTGCCGACTGTCAGATGGCCCCGTGGGTCGAGCGGGCCGACCGTGCGCGCCGGGTGGACACCGTCCTCCAGGTGCTGGGCCTCTCCCACCGAGCCAACACCGTGGTCGGTGACGCGCTGCTGCGGGGCGTGTCCGGCGGCGAGAAGAAGCGCGTGACCATCGGCGTCGAGGCGGTCAAGGACTCGTCCATCTTTCTCCTGGACGAGCCAACTACCGGCCTCGACTCATCGGCCTCCTACGATGTACTCCCCCCTTGCGCATTAATGCAAGTGATGTGTATTAACAGTGTCTGCGTCGAAAGGTGCTTCGCACGGTGCGGCTTTTGGCGGACATGAAGGCCACGGTGCTGGCCTCGCTGCTCCAGCCCAGCTACGAGGTCTTCAACCTCTTCGACAACGTGCTGATCCTCACCCACGGCAAGGTGGCCTTCTTTGGCACGCGGCAAGAGGCGCTCGACCACTTCGCCAGCCTGGGCTACAGCAACATCGAAAACACCAACCCGGCCGAGTTCCTCCGTACGTTTGCCTTCAAGCCTCTCTTTTTTTTTAACTCCTATTCTCTTCCCGCTACTCACCGCTTTCCAATGCCGCACTACAGAGGAGGTGGCCGACAGCGGAGCGGGCTTCGTGGCCAACCCGGGCAAGTACCGACCCGATGCGCGGGCCTTGGACGACGAAGAGCAGGGGTACCAGGACGACTTCCACTGGCTCACATCCGACGAATTCGTCGACGCCTACCACAAGTCGCCCTACTACGAAAACACGCTCAAGTACATCGAGAAGAGCACTTCCACGTCCTCGTCAAGCAGCGACGTCAAGCTTTCGTCCAGCGATCCAGCACTGGAAGGTGGTCACCACGAGCCCGAGTACCCGACGTCGGGCCTCAAGCAGTTCTACCTCCTGACCAAGCGCGCCTTCACCAAGGAGTGGCGCGACATGGAGACGAACCGGTCGCGAATCGTCAGCGCCCTGTTCCTCTCGCTGGTGCTGGGCACCCTCTTCCTGCGCATCGGCAACCACCAGGACGACGCGCGTACGAAGCTGGGCCTGGTGTTCACCATCATGGCCTACTTCTCCTTCTCCTCGCTCAACGCGCTGCCCAACATCATCGCCGACCGCGCGGTCTACTACTATCAGCGCGACACACGATACTACTCGCCGTTGCCCTACATTCTCTCCAACATCTTGGCCGAGGTAAACCACCAGTTTCCGTGCGTGCCTGAGCGCGTTTTCCGTCAAACGAGCAACTCACCGTTTTGTTCAACACAGATCCCGATGACAGTGATTGAAACGCTCATTTACTGCTGCATCACGTATTGGATGACTGGCCTCAACTCGGCCGGCGATCGCTTCATCTACTTTGTGCTCATTTGTGGCGCCTACTACTTTGTACGCACTGCGCCGCGCCCTACTTTCCTGCCGTCGTGTGGCTCGCGGTTGCGGAGTCCGAGCTAACAATCACAAACAACAAAATCCAGATGACGCGCGCGTTCAACCGCTTCATCGCGTGCATTTCGCCCGACCTGGTCTCTGCGCAAGGCATCTCGCCCGTGTTCACCGCTCTGTCCATCCTCTTCGGCGGTTACATCATCACACGGGTAAGCACGTTCATGGACAATGATGTTTTATCACGCGACTAAGATTACTAATCATCCTCAACACCACCACTACAGACGGCTATACCTGGTTGGACCATTTGGTTCTACTGGATGAACCCAGCAGTACGTTAGCATGCAGCGCTGGCATGATGCTTCTTGTTTGCTGATCGTACAAGCGACGTCGTTGTTCGCTCTGTTATACTTCAGATCTACGGCTTTCAGGGGCTGGTGGCCAACGAATTCTGGGGCGAAACGTACTGGTGTTCGCCCGACGAATTGAGGCCCAAACCGAGCGATCCTCTCTTCAATGAACCATTCCCACTCGGCTACGCTGGTACGCACGCAACACACGACGCGCAACGTACCCGCAAACAACTAACTTCGCACAACGCACGCACGCACGCACGCACACAGGCAACCAGGCATGCCAGATCACGAGCGGAACGGACTACGCCGTGAACCAGTTTGATGTGTGGAACTACTCCTGGATCAAGTGGGTGTTTCTGGCCGTGGTCATCTGCTACTGGTTCATCTGGAACACGCTGGCCTTCCTTGCCTTGTGCTATGTCAGGTACGTTCATACACATGTCACCATGGCCACCATCACCCCAAACTAACTAGCTGCGCTCACCTCGCACTTTCGTTCTATCTTCGTGTGATTGTGTCTGGCCAGACACGATCCTCCGCCTGCCCAGCGCATGAAGGAAAAGGAGAGCACCGGTGAGGAGCTCGCCGAAGTCAATATCCAGCAGATCAAGCAGGAAGCAGCCCACAAGAAGAACAACAAGAAAGGTACGATAGCACGCGATGACGTAACCTTTCTTTGATCATTCGCTTGACATTGATTGACTTTGTGTTTTGTCCTCTGTAAATTGATATAGGCCGCAGCAACGATCTGGAGGCTGCCGAGCCCGGGGCCTATCTCTCGTGGAGGAACCTCAACTATTCCGTGTTTGTGAGGGACAAGCTCAAGAAGAAGGAACTGCAGCTCTTGCACGATGTGTCTGGATACGTCAAGCCCGGCATGATGCTCGCTCTCATGGTACCGTACTCATGACACACGATGCACACGACACGACACGACACGACACACGACACGCGACACGGCACACGACTTCATCTTACCTTTGTGGATTCCTAGGGTTCGTCTGGTGCTGGCAAGTCGACCCTGCTCGACGTGCTGGCAAGGCGCAAGACCGGCGGCAAGATCACGGGCGAAATTCTCATCAACGGGCGCAAGGCCGACAGCCAGCTGAACCGTATCATCGGCTACGTCGAACAGCAGGACATCCACAACCCGACCCAGACCGTGCTCGAAGCGCTCGAGTTCAGTGCCACCGTACGTCCTTGCACCTGATACGACCAAGACGTGCCAGCTTGCGCTGATCCAATTCGAATGGAACGCAACGCAGTGTCGGTTGCCGCACTCAATCCCGAAGGAGCAGAAGCGGCAGTACGCGCGCAGCCTGCTGACCATCCTGGGCCTCGAGAAGCAGGCCGACATGGTGATCGGCAACAACGCGCAGGACGGTATCTCGGCCGACCAGAGGAAGCGCGTCACTATGGGCGTCGAGATGGCTGCCGACCCCGCGATCCTGTTCCTGGACGAGGTGCGTACCATAGCCCATCACATTGATATGCCACGTCAGCAAAAACACGTGAGTTGAGCTGACCCTTTAAGAATGATGACGTCAGCCCACGTCAGGTTTGGATTCGTTCGGCGCCGAGCGGGTCATGAAGGCCGTGAAGAACATCGCGGCTCGCGGCACGCCCGTGGTGTGCACCATCCACCAGCCGTCGGCCACCCTCTTCGCCATGTTCACGCACCTGCTGCTGCTCAAGAAGGGCGGCTACACCACCTACTTCGGACCCATCGGGGACCGCCCGGGCGACTGCTCGGTCATGCTCGACTACTTTGCCGGCGCGCTCGGTCGCGAGATCAAGCCCTTCCAAAACCCCGCCGAGTTCATTCTCGAAGTCACCGGCTCTGGTACGCACACGCGCGACCACCACGCAATTCCACAGAGACTCACCAGGCCTCCGCATTCACATCACACACAACAGGGATCTCCAACAAGTCGGAGAAGAAAACGACCGTCGAGGGCGAAGAAGACAGTGAGCCAGTGTCGCTCAAGGTGCGGCGGTCGCTGTTTACATTTTTTTAACAACAAAAAAACGCAACAGTTGTTCGGTTTGTTCGACTCTATTGACTCAAATGCGATCGTTCCGTTGCGTTTGGGCAGAGCGCGGACCAGGACCAGGACGTGGCCGTGGCGGCCTTCCGAGCCTCTAGCTATTTCAAGGACACCCAAGACGGTGCGTCGCACCATGTTTGCACTCCCTCCCCGTGTGCGCAACTCACATGAGTTACCGTGTGTGTGCGGTTGCTTTGGGCAGCTCTCGAGCGAGGGATCTACACCCGGGAGGGCGAGCAGACCGATTCCTCGGGCCGCCTGCGCAAGAAGTGGAAGCAGATGAAGGCGAAGATGCAGGGCCGGTACTCCACGCCGTTCTACGTCCAGCTCAAGGAGGTGCGCCAAAGCCCGAACCTAGCTTCTCTGCAGGGAAGGGGGGTTGCCCTTGCTTGGCCCCTGGGACTCATGTATGGTGGTGCGTGTACGTGCAGCTGCTCGTGCGGTCCTTTGTGCAGTACTGGCGGACGCCACCGGATTTCATCGCCAAGATCATGTCACCCCTCGTGCTCGGCGTCATCATGGTACAGCGCACATGCTTGTGTGGAGCGTTCGCAACCTCTCCGCTCTGCTCACCACTCTTTTCTTTTTCCTGGAACAGGGGTTGCTGTTCCTGCAAATAGACAATGACCAGGAGGGCGCCACGCAACGAGCGGCGGCCATCTACTTTTCGCTCATCATCTGCAACCTGATCTCTTTCGGTACGTACGCCGTTCACACTATCATTATTGTTTTCTCATATTCGTTCATTCATTCATTGTTTCTGACCGGTGATTCCTGCGTGCAGCCTTGATTGCGCGTGTGATCACCGATCGAGCCGTGTTCTACCGCGAAAACACTTCGCGCACGTACAACAGCATGGCCTACGCGATCACGATGACCGTCGTTGAGTACCCCTTTGCGCTGGTCGCCACCGTTCTCTACATGTACGACCACTACCTCCCTCTCACCTACATTCATCGGCGCTTGCTCATTCCTTGTCGGCGCACGCACAGCATTCCGTTCTACTTCATTGCCGGCCTGCAGTACGACGCGGGCAAGTTCTGGATCTTCTTCGCCGTGCTGCTCCTCAACTTCCTCATCACCTTTGCCCTGGTGCAAGCGCTGAGCCTCCTGGCGCCCAACTTCGTGTTGGCCAGCACCTTCTGCGCCGTGGCCTTCACCCTCTTCGCCATCTTCTCCGGATTCCTCATCTCCCGCGACAACATCCCACCCTGGTGGATATGGGCTCATTATCTCGGTTCGCCACATGCCACACACACACACAACACACACACACCACCGCACACAACACACACACACACACACACACACCACCGCACACGTACACTGACAGCGATTTGATTGCAGATATAAATATGTATCCGCTTGAGCTGCTGGTGGCGAATGAGATGGACGGTCTCAAGCTGCACTGCGCCGACAGCGAGTACCTGCAGGTGCCGATCAGCGGCACGCCCGGCGCGACGAAGGCCTTCTGCCCGATGAACGCGGGCGAGGACTTCCTCGACTCGGTACCTTCTCTTTCCAGTTCGCCAAGCGCGCACACGCACAACCGCACACGCACCACCGCACACGCACACACTTTTCCTGACCATTCCTCATTGCCAGGTGGACTTTGACAAGGACAACATGCTGCGTGACGGGCTGGTCTTCCTCGGCTTCTACATTGCGTTCCTCGTCGGCATCGTCCTGTTGATCAAGTTTGTCAAGCACCAGAAGAGATGAAGCCACATACCACGTTGTTCAAACATTCTTCCATATTTCGTGTACATTGCTTGGATATTTTGCTATTTTTCTGGGAGGGAGTGACAGGAATCGTTATAACGAGAATTTCGGCGGTACGCTCAACCCCTTTTGATTGGTCGCGAGAAAGTTTCAACCGAACGCCATTGGGCGGCAGAATAGTCTATGAAAATAGGATAGGTGGGATTTAATGCTGCGGCTGTTTTGGACCAGCCCACAAACCAAGATGAACCCATCCACTTACTCTGTCCTCGATCTGACACTGTGTGGCACTGAGCAGCTCTCGACCTCTGTCCAGGCTCAACAGCTGCAGTTCCCGCCAACACCGGCCGTTTCGTTTGAAGCTCACGACCTGGCCTGGGCAGTCACCTCGGTCTCCCCACCTCCGCTGCCTGCGCCCTTTGGGTCTGTTGGTCCCTGGGGTCCACAGCAGGGCCAGCCTCAGCCGCAGCATCCACAGCAGCACCTGGTCTATTACTTTACAGCGCTCCCCGAGAAGGCCAAGCCCATCTGGGTCGTCTTCTACGATCGATGCGACCACCCGCTCGATGCCTTCGCTTTACAGCTCTTCAACGAGCCCACATCATCACTTGATTGCACCGCAACCGCTTCGACGACCACCACATGCGTTCCAGCTCACAGGCTGCAGGCGGAGAGCGACCTGTCGTGGAGGGCCACCAACAACGAGGGCAGCCTCGACGTGGGCCTCATCCAATACAAGATCGCCTTCACCTGCCCCAACGACACCTTCCAGCGCACCATCTTCAGCGCCCACCTAGTCAACTCGGCCTCGGGCCTCCACATCGATCTGGGGGTGATGTCGATCGTGAGCACCACCAACCAACGATCGGACCCCCGGTTCATGGCCAAGCTCGAGCGGCGCTGTCCGTCCGAGGCCCACCGGCGGCTGGTGGCCAACTTCAAGCGACACCCGCGCCAGATGCGCCACTTCATCAACGGCAAGGGCCGGAGCAAGGGCGCCAAACAGGCGAGCCGACGCGGCCACCGCTTCCTCATGGAGGAGTACGTCTGGGCCGTTCACCTCTGAATCGTCTGATGAGTTGGCTGGTTTCAAAAAAATGGCTCGTCAGTCGAAACACAGGCCTGTCGGTGGTGGTGGGTGACGTAGACGGCGAAGGATGGTCCCCTCGTGGCGTGCAGCTGGATGCTGCCCGCTCCGTCCCACGACGGCAGCTTTGCGGCGAGCGCGGCCACGAAGGCCTCGACGTTTTGGCGGAGCTGCTCGACCCGCATGTCCGCATGGCCCACTGCACAATGCTGAGGTTGAATCAAACGCACACAACAGGGAACACAACACGACACGACACACACGATTGGGGTGAGGGGTAGAAGGAGGTCGGTACCTGCAAGATGCAGGGTACGCACACGGCGGAAGCGCGCGACTGAAGTGCGACGATGTTCGTCGAGCACCTGCGCCAGTGGCATCTCGGTGGGCAACAACTTGGGGAACCTGCCAATGTAGGAGACACGAGACCCCAGGATCCGCGGGAGGTAGCGGATGACGTCACCATGCGCGTAGAAACGCTCATACCGCAGTGCTGCACGCATGATGTGGTTCGAACTGTCAGCATCTTACTGATGATGAAGATGGTATGATGTTGATGATGATGAGATCTGGTAAGTTACCCCACTTTTTGATCTGCTTCCAGTTCTTGTTGAAGGCTCTGAGGTGGTCGAGGTCAAAGAAGTCCACGCCCAACTCCTTCGCTTGCTCGCGCAGCAGCAGACATTGACTGGGGCCGATCACACCGATGGTTGCCCTGGACGACGACGACTCCATGTGCCTGTGTGAACAAAAAGAGAGAACGTTCACAAGACCGGCAGAAGCATATTATGACTTGTGCGCGTGTGTGCGGGAAGGTGTGTGTGTGCGCACGCGCCGTTGATTACCTGACGGCATGCGGCAAAATAGCCTTGATGGTGCGCTTTTCAGAAGGGTCGTAGTACAGTTGGATGGACAGCGCCACCGTATCCGTGGTCGCTCTGCAGCCCCGCCCCCCACGCCACAACAGCCGACCGACCGACACCATGTCAATCGTGACGTCACTGGGCCAGACCCCGAGCACGGAACGCAGCCGCATGTACCCGTGATGGCGGGCGTCGTCAAGCAGCTGTGGCACCACACGGTGCAGACCGGCACGAAGTGGATCCACGGCGCGCAGGCGCACGCCGAAGTGGCGCTTCCACGACTTGTGGTTGCGGGCGAGGGCGCGCGGCGTCCACTCCACTTCCGTGATCTCTCTGCGGCACATCTCCTTCTGTCTTGAACACACGGCACACGGCACACGGCACACGGCACACGGCACACGACACACGACACACGGCACACGGCACGGCGCAGAGTTGTGTTCAGTGAAGGAAAGTAACTCCGAATTGGGGGTTGCTGGAGGTGAGGTACCCAGAGGTGGTTGTCGGACGAGAGGGCGTGCCAGGCGCGGCACACGAGGCTAGCGTTGCACAGGCTCTTCCGGTCGAGCAGCGTCCAGATGCCCAGCTGCAGCTGTTTCACCCCCCCCCTTTCCGTTAGCCGCTACGCATTCACAAGTGGTGGAGGCGGAGAGCGGGGTGGGGTGTGGTGTTCTACCCCCGCGGGCAAGGACAGAGGTATCATGCTCTCCATCTTGTTGTTACCTCGCCTTGGTCGAGTTTTTTATTTTGACTTTGACTTTGAATTTGTTTTTAAGTTGAGTTTTAGTCCGCCCCACCACCATCTTTGGGCCACACGAGCGAGTTTAGGTTTGTCTCTCGATGGCGTTTTATGGTCGACCGGTCCATGGTGCCCAGGGGCGTCACACCACTACAGGAGGAGAACGGTGGGCCGATGGGTGCTGCAGCTTGGCCTGCTTGCGACTCACGGCTCGAAGCCGGCAAAGGAGAGAAGCTTCTCCAGCGGCTGCCTTTCCAGTGCGCCAATCGCTGCCATGACCATCCCTGCGGGTTGTTGGCAACGCACGCACAACACGCACACACGCACACGCACACGCACGACACGACACACACAATGGACGTGAGATAAAGCGAGAAGCTATGGCTTGCGGTGAGGGCAATACCTTCGGGAGGGTTGGGCGGCAGGATGGAAAGCAGCTGCTGGAGCGGCGAGGGCTCGGGACCCGAGGGCCAAGCAGCCCACGTCTTGTCCTGGTACCTGTACTGCAGGCCCACGCCAACCCGCAGGCGGCCCTTCCAACTGAAGCCCACCTGCGCGAGACCACCCGTGTGAGCACCCAAAAAGCAAACGACACGTGGGGAATCGCCGTACCACAAACGAAAGGGCGCCCGCAGCTCTGTCGTGGACGACGCCCGGCTGACCGGTCGGCGCTGCGGAGAAGAGCGGAGGAGCCGAGAGGAGCCACCTGCACGGAAAACAAGCGGTTGAGTGGGTGGGACACGCATACGACACACACGACACACACAGTACACGGCTGTTGTTGTTTGCAACAAGTGGCGTACCGGAGACCCATGCCCTCGCGGTCTGCGGGACGTTCGTTCTCGCGCTTCATGAGCTGAACGAACTCCTGGAGGACGGGCAGCGGCAGAGTGAGGAGGCGCAGGAGCGAGGTCAGGTTGCTGACGGCGTGGTAGAACGGCGGCGACGCTACATGGCGGCGGAAGAACGCCGCGATCGCCGCGCTCTCCTCCTCCGTCAAATCCGCCCTGTCCGGCGGTGGCTGCTTGGGCACGCCGAACAGCGCCGTCGTTTCTGCGTGGGAACGAACGAAGTGGTTAAAATAATGAGGCGGGGGGGGCTGGCCGCTCGCAAGAACGAATGAGGGTACCTTGTTTCCGTTCTGTCTTGGAGTGCAGTGCCAGGTGAATGTGACCGGAGATGGAGATGGAAAAGCTCTGCTTGTTGGCGGTGAATACCATCTTGTTCGGCTTCTCGGCTTTGACGTCCTGGAGAGCCGACGTATCAGTTATCTCTTGAATGAATGAATGAAATAATTGAGTGCTATTGGATAGGTACCTCGAAGCCTTCGTTCTTGAGCATGGCTCCCGCTTGTCGGTAGAGGTAGAGCACGCCCATGAATTGGTGCAACAGACCCAACGCTTCCGCGAGCACCTCTCGGGTCAACAACCCCTGCGCACGCACAACGCATGGTTGTATTAATATGATGTGCGTGCGTGCGTGCGTGGAGGTAGAACGTACGAGGATTTGCTTGTCCTGCTGTGGCAGCTGACTGAGCGTGGGTGCGGCCAGGGGCAACAAATGTTCACTGGGGGGCCACACCACAACAACGAAGAGAATGTACATCAGCGTCGGTGTCTGGTGATTTGGGTCTTGATGGGGGGGGGGATGCAGGAATTGGATGGATGTACGTGTAGAATGCTGAGAAGTTGGTGAGCGAAAGCAGCTGGCTACGCCGATGCATTCCGGTGAGGCCAGTGGGAATGCCCATCGAGGCGGACGCATCTGTGTATGCGTGTGTCGTGTAGTGTGGCGCACCGGTGAGTCACCAAGGTCGTCGGCTACAACGTCGGCGGCACTTTTTATAATACGGTACCTTCAATGTGGATGAGATTGTTGGGCAGGATGCGAAGGTCGACACCGAGACTAAAGAGTTGAGTGATGGGCAGGAACAGGTCAGTGAAGAACGCACGCCCTGGCACGGCAGTGTAATCATGCCAGGCTGGCACGTGACAGGTGCAAAGATCTACGCGGGAGCGTACATGTTTTTGTAGATGAGGCGAACGTGCGCGACGTCCCTCGGAATGAGCGAAATGTCGTTGGCCAGCAAGTAGTTGTCGGCCGTGGGCGTGTGCAGGAACGAGTTGATCAGGTGCAGCGGCACGTTCGTTCGGTACACCGCCTTGGGGACAAATATGTCGTGTCGTGTCGTGTGTGTGTGCGTGTGTGCGTGTGCGTGTGGGTGTGTGTGTGAGAGAGAGAGAGAGGAAGCATTCGGATGGCCGGTAGGTACCTCGAGAAGCTCGGCAATGCTCCGACGTGCGTTCAACAAAAACTGGAAGTACGGCGCCACCGGACCACACTCGAACCTGCGAGAGCAGCAGCAAGACGACGACTTGTGAGCGACACCCGCTCCCATGGATTGCGGCGAGCCAGCCTGGCTCGGTAACGTACCCACTCCAAGTGATTTCGAAGCTGGCCTCTTCCGACAGGCTGATGGACAGCTCTTTCTGTCCCTGGTGCGTGTGCGATCTCAGTGAGACGTTCAATATAGAGGAGCGAAGAAGAGCGAGTCCACAGTAGATGGAGTGTGGTTTACCTCATCAAAGTGCAGTACGAGGTGGGTGGGCGTGAATCGATGAATTTCGAAGTAGCGAAGCAGGTGACCATACTGGGCGGCATTGCTGAGAACTGGGGACACGAGGGTGAGTGAGAGTGTGTCAGTCAGGGGCAAGCGTGGTGAATGGAGAATGTTGTGTGGACTGGGATCGGAGCGAACCGCTTTCGAGGCCGTTGGCGAGGGCGGTCATGCGGGTCACCCCGCGCAGATCACGCAGGAAGATCTTCAGCGAATCGGCCTTGTCGTCGGCGACGTGGTCGTATTCAAACCGCCACCCGTGTCCCGGCTGGTACGTGATGTTGCCAGCCACTAAGTTCGTGATGAACACGGCGGTGCTAAATGTGAGGCCTCCGCTCGGGAGCGTGCGTGTGTGTGTGTGAGAGAGAGAGAGAGAGAGAGAGAGAGCGACATACGGTGTGGTGGCTGCTTCGCAGAGATGTACGGAGCGAGAACACTGAACGTGGGCTTCAACTCCTCGACGATGACCACCCACTTGAAGTCGCCCAGGAAGGAGATCCTGTCCGGAAAAGCAAGACGAAGAGACCGATGATGGAGCGCGTGAGTGTCACCACGGGAGAAGGTCGGAGAAGGGGAGGTGTGCAATGTGGTGTGAGTGGCGAAGTACCGCATCTGAGAAATGGGCATCTTGAAGTCGTTGAGGGGAATGGTGAACAGGAGGTCGCCGTTGTCCTCGCTCTTGCACGAGATGCCCTTGCTCTCTTCAAAGAATCGTCGCATCATCAACGAGGTTATCGTTTTCCTGTGTTTGATGGGTTTTTTTTAAAGCGGAGAAGAGACGGGAGCCATTGGAGCAGCGACTGCGACAGGCAGTTCCCAGACGATGTAGTGCGTACCTGCAGTTACTCACAATCGACGACAGAAGCGACTGGTAGGGCACCACCCGATCTCCCGACGAACTGGAAGAAGGGTGCACACAACAACAACAACATGTCAGCACCGCTCACCGAGCTGAAACGAGAGAAACGTCCTCCAACGCACCTGGACGGCGTGGTGGCCGTGTGCCGGGGTCGTTTGGATTCGTCTACGACCTTGCCTTCGCCGTCTGCGTTGCCGTCAGTCTCTTCAGCCTTACGCTTGGCACCAGCGGCGGGCGGGGTGGTGGGCGGCGTTGCGCCGTCCTTTTCCTTGCCCTTGTCCGACTTGCGTTTGTTGCTCGCTTCGCTCTCCTTCTCCCGCTCGCGCTCCTTCTCCTTCTCCTTGTCCCGCTCGCGCTCCTGCTTGATCTGCTTGGCGATGTCGGCGGGAATGCTGGCCTGCTCGTGGAGGAACGACGCCGGCGAGGGCATGGGCGAGGGCGACATGAGCGGGTACGGCGAGGGCATCGGTGTGGAGAAGGTGGAGAACGGCGTGTGCGGCATGAGGAGCGATGTCGAAGACGAGGACGACAGCGAGGGGATGAGGAACGGGGAGCTCTTGGAGAAGGCGTCGGCGAGCGGCACCACCTGGTGGATGTGAATCAAGGCCGACTGGGTGCTCTTCCTGCACATTGACAGTCTGACGTCAGCTTCCCCGCATTGCTCGCACCCACTATTGGCGATCACCGTCGAATCCATCGGCACGTACTTGGTGACCAATAAATAAAACTTGGGTGTGAAGTCCTGCTCCTCGATTTCGATGGCCAGGAAGTAGTCGGGCACATCCCTGAATCGCAGGTACAGCGTATTCTGCGAGAAGGCGTGCTGTTGCTCTGTAGGTAGGTGCGACAAACGTGTCGAGAATTCACGATAGGGACACAATCGTGAGTAGCAACGCCCCGAGAGCAAGAGCAAGGTGCAGGTAAGGTAACCTTTGTCGGGCTCGGCTGGTGGCGCCTTCAAAAGATCGTGGAAGGCTTCAACGCGGAGCGACTCGGCGCCAGCGATTCGAGAGAAGTGGTACAGCAACGCCTGCGGAGGAATGATATGGGCGATGGGCGATGAGCGATGAGATTTGTAAAATAAATAAAAAATAAGCTCTTATTTAAGAGTGTTATGGAGGAGCACCTTGTGTCGCAATTCCCGCACGATTGAAGGAATGAGGCTCGGGTCCTTGTTCAACTTCGCTTCCAGCGGCTGCAGCACTTCTGCAAGATCGGACCATGATGGTTAGCTTATTTGCTGTGTGATTTGACGCTGTCCGGGGTGTACCTTGGTCGATCACGCCAACGGGCGCCTTCAGCAGGAATCGCCCCGACCGAAGATCGATCGAAATGAACAGATAGTGTGGATTGAAGAGGCGGATTTTGAGGTAGGTTTGTTTCCCTTCACGTTCACCACGGCATGGCATGTCAGCGATGAGCAACGGAGGAGCAAGAAGGGCGCAAACTGACTGCAAGTTGCAAGTGGGTAGGGCAGACTCACCTTGGTTTGCGTTGATGAGTCGAACATCGTCGGAGAAGAGGCCCAGCTTGGTATCCGCAAACAGCGCCTCTTGCAGCGCAAACAAGAGAGAGTAGGAATGGTACTGCAGCGTCTGCTGGAAGAGGTGCTCCAAGTTGAGGCTGGTGGACCTCTGTGACAAGCAAATGAGGCAAAGGAGGTCAGTGCCTCCGTCGCGTTACGCGCAGTACAGGGCATAACGAAGGTCCTGATGTACCACAACGAGTTTCACCTCCTCGCCGCTGACCGGGTTCATGATGGTTGGCGTGTGGGTGACAGACAGCTGTCGTTCATCGACAACAATTTGGAGGTAGATCGGCCACTCGGCCTCCATCCCGTCCCGTTTTACGTGTCCATGAGGCTTGACAGCCGCCAACTCCCTGTTGATGACGTGTCGCAGTCAGCAAGCGGAGACCGGAAGAGGAAGAAGAAAGGGGGGCCAAACCTCCAGTAGTAGATTCGCAACTCCTTTTCTGGCACGTAGTCGACCTTGACATCGGGAGCCAGCCGCCTGCTCAACACTTGCGCTTGGGTGGCCAGCACTCCGATTTGTAGCGGCACGCACACGGCGTCTGAAAGAGAGCAGCTGTGTGATTAGCGATCAGCTCGTGAAGAGAGAACGAGGGTTGTAGAGACTGTACGCATGATTATGTATAGCTCTTCAAGGGGGTGGTCGGCGCGCGCCATCCGCTGTTGCAGCCTGTCCTTCAAAATGTTCATAAACCGAGGAGGGAACAGGGTGTCCGTGTCCTCCTTCACTCCCGCTGCACAAAAGATGACCCTTATGAGCAAAGTGCGAACGTGGTACTGTATGGTGGGGTATGGGTTTGCGACACGCACCACTGGACGAAATAAATAGGTCGATGCTGAGGACTATCCAGGGGTACTTCTTGACTTGCTCTGCTTCGGTGCCAATCTTCGGATCCTCGCCATAGACCGTGAGTGACACCTCGAACTCGTTTTTCACCTTGAGATACACGCGACCGTCCTCTGTTTGCAAGGAAAGAGCTGTTGAGACACCTCAGCTGAGTGGAGAGACGGTCACAGAAAAGCGTACCAACGCGCACGGAGAAGTGAGGAGGCAGCTTGGAGTGAAACAAACGCATCGAGATGATGTCGTTCAAGCGCTTCAGAATCTGCTTTTCCTCGTCCTCGGCGATCGGTGCCGGCGGAATGATGTTCTAGAAGCACACGACGTAAATCAAAACAGCAGGGCCGCGGGTAGTGCGGTATGCAAAATGGGTGCGTGTGGGTTGGTGGAAGGACTACCTTGACGGCAGTGGGCAGAGGTGAATAGTTGCCCGTGGTCAGGACATCGATGGCCGTTGGAATGTCATAGTTGGGTGCTCTGCAGTGGTGGCGTGGTCAGGCAAGAACATAAAAGTACAGCTTTAGCGGAAGAACAGCGGGCAGCACCTTGCATCCTTGATGGTGCCCATGAAGGCGTAAAGTCGAGCAGCAGCGCCCTCAAGGGATGCATCCTGTTCCATCAAGAAGTGCTCCAGGTCCTACAAAAGCGGGTGCCAAGCGAGTGAGACAAGCGGCAAGGAGGAGCGGGCGCTCCGCGGTGCTCAAGCGCAGGGCAGCAAAGACAGAGTGTAGGGTGCGGCGCCAGGAGAGAAGCTAGCAAGCTGGGGCAGCAGGGCGGCACGTACCCAGGAGGCCTTTACCGCGGGCACGTGCGCACTCCATTTCACCAAAACAAGGAGCTTGATGAGTCGGTTCCGCGCATTTTGGAAGAGGTCCCGCAGAGCGATCTTACGATCGCGATCACTCTTCTCCTCGAGCCTGCACCAAAGCATTAAAATCAAATGTGCGGCAGGTGGAGCAGGAATTGGAATCAAAATAAAATAGAATAAATTGGATGGTAATTCCAAAGTGAGGCGGCCAGGTACTTCTGGGCAACGGCAATGAGTTCCTTGTAAGTCCTCTCCACGGCCCTGTGGATGACAGTGGACAGCTTCACTGTCCGCAGCTCGGGCGGGGGCGGGGGCGCGTCGGCCATGGCAGGTAATTTGAGCGCGAATTAGGCGAAGGTTCAAATCCTTGCAATAAATCGCCTTGATTATCTTGTCTGCTCCCTGATCGGGCACGATCTCCCCAAGCTAGCCAATCCAACCGAGAGCGGCTTCGCAGTCGCTCTTTCTTCTCTTCCCTCCCGTCCGCCTCAGTTCAGGCAGCCACAAGGAAGAAAAATTCGAGCAAAAAAAGCAGCAATAAATACCCACCGAAAATGCTGGCCGGATGAAACCGGGATCGGATATTTTGTCGACACTTTGTCTGCTGCAAAAGGCCGACGTGCAGATTCCGGATCTTTGTCTCGCTCTCAAACCGGCCAGCAACACCATCAGCTCCTCTTCATCAGGTTCGTACACTCTCATCTACGCACCCGCGTAGGCTACGTGCCGTGAGTTCAGAAATCACAATTCGAATCGCGACATGCGAGTAGGAATGAAATCCTAATCTCGTGTACGTATTCTACAGAATCCAACATGTCCCTCAAGAACGACATCGTCTCCGCCCTCGAGAAGGTCACCGCTAAGGATGCCACTGAGACCCACGCCTGGGTCAAGCCCTACGAGGCTCCCGCCGCTGATGTGCACCAGTTCCTCTTCTTCCTGAAGCCTGAGGCCACCGCCAGCTACGATGTACGGTTCCCGAAGCAAACTTTACAGTCTGCCCTTTTCCTAATCTCGGAACACATTTCACAAATCAACAGGGCGTTAAGGTGGAGGCTGTGGTCGAGCTCGCCCTGAAGACCCTCGCCGATTTCGGCGTTGAGGTCGGCTCCGTCCGCGTGCTGTCCGGTGACTACCTCGACAAGCACAACCTGATGGGCCAGCACTACGGTGTCATCTCGGCCATCTCCAGGGAGGGCGTCTCCGTCATCTCCGAGCAGGCCAAGAAGAACCTCGACGAGAAGTTCAAGGCTGACATTGAGGCCGGCGCTTCCGTCCTCGGTGGCCACCAGTTCCTTGCCAAGGAGCCCGGTTTCAACGCCTTCTCGCTCAGCGTGCTGAACGACAACCTCGGCACCACCAGGCTCGCTGGCGGTATGTCAATTGCGATTAATCTTGCGATTTATTTTCCAAGTTCCGGAGCTCACAATTTGTGACAGGTACCTATGCCATGAAGATCAAGGTCCTCGGCAAGCCCGTCATTATCCTCAACCCCTTCCACGCCTACCAGCTCGGTGAGTAACTCGCGTCCCAATCGCATCGTTTTTTCAATTCGCATGCGCTAACTTGTAACTTTATTCAGTTCCCTACACCACCAAGGGTCACTCGATCATCCTGTTCGAGGCCCGCTCCACCAAGTCGTGGGAGGATCTCCGCCAGAAGCTCACCGGCACCACCGACCCCAAGGATGCCGCTGAGGGTTCCATCCGCAACCTGTTCCTTAAGCACGTACGTTCCTCCTTCCGCACAGCCCAGTCCGTACCAGTGATTCTCTGTGATGCAAGCTTTGCTGCGTTCTTTCTGAACACCATTGTTGAAACCTTACTTCCTCAAAGCGCCTGAGACCATTATCTCTTCGTAGCAGCGAAACTGTGGTTCTTCATTTCTTTAGCTCACTTCGCTCCCATCAACAGAAGGCCGACCTTGGCCTCGGTGACGTCGACAAGGGCACCAACGGCGTGCACGCCTCGGCTGGTCCCCTCGAGGGCATGGTCGAGCTCCAGCGCTTCTTCTCCGACCACGAGGCCGGCTCCACCCTCGGCTACGATCACACCGCCTTCGGCAAGCTCCTCATCTCCAAGGGCCTCAGCCTCGAGCAGGTCCAGAAGCTCGCCTCCAACCCCGACCTCGACCAGGAGGGCAAGAAGGTGTCTGCTTTCGACGCCACCGAGGAGAAGGACGCCGCCGAATCTGCGGACGTTCTCGCCAACGCCAAGTTCGCTGCCGCCCTCTAAGCGAGCCCTTGTTACACTTTAGCGCAAAGATACGACATGTTCGAAGGAAGCTTTTGGTTGCTATGCGCCACAAACAGAAGAAGGCCCAAAGAAGGACACACGCAAGAAGACGAAGAGGCGTCGAGAAGGAACCACAAACCAAGACAAACAAACAAACAAACAAGGCCAACACCTCACCCGCAGCCTCATCTCTCGTGCATAGATTGTAATCGTCTTAGACTCCAACAAGATGGCGGTGTCTCTCAAGGTGAACTTGAGGTCGATTGGAACCACCAAGACAATGAGGTTCGTGGGTGAGATGTCGGTGTCCGAGATGGCCAAGGAGATCCGTGACAAGGTGCCCAACGCCGGCGGTAGCGACCATGGCATCTTCCAGCCCGGTACCATCACGCAGAAGCCCAGATGGCTGCGCATCGAGAAGACTCTTCGCTTCTACGATCTCCAGTCTGGCGTACGTCTGACAGAGACATGAAGAATGAAGAACAGGTGAGGCTTACCTTCTTCTCACACCCGTGTGTAGATGGAGATCGAGTACAAGAAGAGACATCGACAGCTCAAGGTGAAACTGCTGGATGAGACGGTGCGCACGTTCATGATCGACGAATCGGCCACAGTCGCAGCCTTGACGGAGCATGTGGGATACAAGATGGGCATCAAGAACCCTGAGGAGTTCTCCTTCAAGATCGTCAGGTGCCCCAATTCTGTCTCCTTCTTTCTCGCTCGGCGCTGCAGCTCAACCCGCGTTTTGAATGCAGGGATGATACCCAGGACTGGTTGCACCCCAACGTGACCCTCCCAGAGCAAGGCGTTACTGAAGACGAGACCGTGCTGTTGAAGAAGAAGTTCTTCTTCAACGACGCCAACGTGGATCGTTCCGATCCCGTCCAGCTGCACCTCCTCTACGTGCAGGTTTGTAACCTGTTGTTATTTCTTTGTGATTTTATCTGTCTTTTTTCAGCTGATTTATTACTGTGCTGATTTTGACGGGCAGTCGAGAGATGCGATTGTGTCGGGAGACCACCCTTGCACGAAGGATGAGGCAAGAGATTTGGCCGCTCTTCAGTGCCAGATCACTTTCGGTGACTGCAACGGCAAGAACAAGAACCTGGTCACGTACGTCCCCCCCATCCGGTTGATCGTTGGATTGGAAGCGAAAGACAAAGAGGAAGGCTGCTGCGGGTCACGTGTGCGCCGTCATCGCTTGTTGTACAACCCTCACGCGTGGGCGGTGCAGTGAGAAAAAGATCAAGGAGTTCCTACCGCCCCAGTTCCACAAGCTGAAGGGGTTCGACAAGGACATCATGCGCGAGTACCAGCAGAAGCTCACTGGTATGATCGAGGTCAACGCGAAGTACAGGTGCGTGCACGAGTCGCGCTCGAGTTCTTTGCAGTCTTTGTGATTCACGCGGTGCGCGCTGCACGGCTCATCATGTCTCATTGTGGCGTGCGGACACACAGATATGTACAGCTGTGCCGATCGCTCAAGACCTACGGTATCACGTGCTTCCTGGTCAAGGAGAAGGACAAGAAGAAGAAGAACAAGATGACTCCCGTGCTGCTCGGCATCACGCGCCACGCCATCCTGAGGATGGACCCCGAGACGAAGGAGGTGATCAAAGAGTTCCCGCTGCCTCACCTCAAGCAGTGGTCAGCTGCGCCCGCCGCGTTTACGATGGACTTTGGCGACTACGAGGACTCCTACTACACTGTAATTACCAACGAGTCCGACGCCATCTCGCAGGTACGTCGCCATCTCATGAGCTCGGCTTAGATTGATCGAACACCTGCCGAGAGCTCACCTCGCCACTCTGTCTCGTTGGTGCATCCGCCGGCGATGTGCAGTTGATTGCCGGTTACATCGACATCATCCTCAAGACGAGGAAGGACGCCGCCCGCATCATCGAGGAGGAAGAGCCGGAGATGGCCTTGGAAGAACACGTACGGGCACCAGTTTCTTTCTCCTCGGCGGCTTGTGGGTGTGGTGAGTGGTGTGTGGTGTGCGTGCGTGCGCGTGTGTGACTGACCAAGCCAATCAATAGATCGCTCCGGTGTACGGCCGAGCCTACTCCTCTGTCACGACAAACAACATGGCCCCAGGAATGTGGGACCCCAACACGTCGATGGAGTACGCGCCCGGTCCGGGTGCTCTGCCAAGTACGTGAACGGTCCCCTCAATGGAACGCGACCAATTAATTGGCAACGGCCTTTTTTTGGATTCACTGCCGACCGGCTAACCGCGCTCCGCACACAACTCAGACTACGCCATGCAGCAACAGCAGTTCGCGAGGATGATGCACGTCAAGGGCCTCGAAGAAGCGGTCGTCTCGGCCACCGCGCTCGTGGAAAACTTCCAGAACCCCTCGCTTGGCGTTGCGCTGGGCCTGGCCAAGATGCCCGTCACCCAGGCGCTCACGGCCCTCACCGGCGCCGCAGGGCAACTGGCAGCTGCGATGAGCAACTATACCCCCGTACGCACACCCGGCCCTGCATCGCCAATCACATCGCCAATACTAACTGCGACGAACTGATCTGGCGGAACCAGACGTCGGCCGCAACGGTCGATGTAGCCGCACAGGTCACGCTCACAGGCCTGGGCGACCTCATCGCCTCGGCCAAGGCGGCTGCCGAGGCGACAGACGACCCTCTGGTGGTCGACGGCGCTCGGTGCCTGACCGAGGCCATCAGGACCATGCTTGCGGTTCGTCCTACCCTCCTCTCTGCTCTCCCTAGCACGCTGTCCGAGCAAGTGCTGACGCTCTCACTCTACCCGCAATTGTGACCACTCTGCTCAGGCGGCCGCCTCCCTGAAGCGCAGCCCCACCGAACAAGTGGCGATCGAGCAGTTCCGCGAGTCGCAGCTCGCAGTGCAGAGCGCGGCGACCCACGTGCAGGCCGCCACCGCGGGCACACTCGCTGATCAGGTACGTGAGACTGTTGCTTGTGTTGTTCGAACCTACTCTCGGACAGCCCAACCTCACTCTCTCCTCTCCAAGGTCTCGCAAAACCTGATCCTCGAGTCGGCCAAGGCGGTTGCGGCTGCTGCCGCGGCTACCGTCACTGCGGCCGTTGCGGGGGTTGAGGGCCAGGCAGTCCCGGTGGCCACGCGCCAAGAGGTGCACGGCACGGCCAGGGCTCAGGCCTCTGCTGCCGCGAAGGTGCGTCGGGCTTGTGTGCGGACCTGGCGCGAGCGAGAGTAGACTGATATTGGGGCGTGATGCCTCGATCAGGTCCTCGGTATCGCCACCGCGCTCGCGCCTGGCATCCTGAATCCTGCGTACACGCAGCAGATCGCCACGGCGTGCCGAGCGCTCGCCGACGCCAACCAAGCGCTCAGCGGCTCCGTGAGGTCAGGCTGTCCCGACCCGGTATCCGCTGTACGCGCTCCCTTCTCTTCGTGCGGCGCGAGTCGACCGACACGGCTGTGAGCCCGCGTCCCCTCGGGCAAGCCACTCTGCAGCTGCAGGAGTACTCACTGACTGCGCCTGCTGTGTGACCGGGTGGAAAACAGGCGGTGTCGAAGAACGCGCAGCTGACCGAAAGGGCCATGGCGCAGCTGCTCAATGCCGCCGCCTCGGCCGGCAAGAAGGGCAGGGAGCCCATCGACTTTATCACGCCTCTCGAGGATGTGGGCTCCAACCTGGAGCAGCTGCAGGTGGCGGCCAAGAGCAATCCCGGCCTCATCCCCTCCTCGGCATCGGCTATCCAGTCCGCGGCCAACAACCTCGTCGCTTCGACCAAGACCATCGCCAGTGGCCTTGGACCCGATCGTCAAGCGGCGCTGCTCGAGCGCTCCAAGAACATCGCCGACGCGTCCAACAGAGTGCGTTGAACTATACCAACCACAACGCTCCGTATCTAAGTCACGCCACTCATTGATCATCACCATCGTGTGCAGGTGGGGCAATCGGCGCGAGCGGCCGTTGGTTCGGGCGACGCATACAGCGCGGGTCAGGTGGTGTCGGCGGGCCAGGCCACCATGGCCGCCGTGCAGGCGCTGCTCGCCGCTGCGCCGGAGGCCGTCATCGATTCCGTGGCCTACTGGTCCAAGGCCGCCGCGGCGCAGACGTCGGCGCTCATGACCGTGGCCATGCCGGCCAAGGCCAAGGACCCCGGGCTGAGCGCAGCCATCGACAACGCTGCCGCGGCCGTCTCCGATCTCGTGGAGGCCGTCAAGCAGCACATCAACTGCGCACCCGGCGCCAGCGCCGGCGTGGTGGTGGCGGCCAAGGCCGCCACGGTGCCCGTCGCCGCTCTGCTGGGCGCCGCCGCGCAGGCGGTCAACTACATCGAGGACCCGAGCAAGAAGGTCGGCCTCTCGCAGGCCATTTCCGACGCCCAGGGCGCCCTCCAGAAACTGGCAACGTCGGTTAAGGCCGCGTCCGAGGCCAACCGCCCGCGCGCGCTTGTCGACGCCAGCGAGCAGCTGCGCGCCGCCACGGCCGATCTGGACGTGGCCTACATCGCCGCTGAGTCCGCGGCGCTCCCGCGCACCCTGGGCTACACCATGGAGTCCTCGACCAAGGGCCTGGGCGACGCGTGCAAGGCGCTCCAGGCCAGCTCGACCGCCGCCGACGCCGCGGCCCGCCACTCCGTGGCCGCCGTCGGACCTGCGTGCAAGACCATGACGGGCCACGTGTACCAGGTGGCCACCGCCGCCAAGGCGCTGGCCGCCTTCTCGCCCGACGCCGCCTCGCAGAAGCAGATCGTGGCCGCGTCGAAGGGCGTCGCCGTCGCGGCGCAGGGAGTAATGGAGGCGGCGAAGAACCTGGCCGAGAACCCCTCGAACCAGAGCTTCGAGGCCAGTTCAGCCAAGGTGCAGGAGGACATGACCAAGGCTATCGGCAACCTGCTCACCTCGGCGCACGGGCTCGACACAGGCGAGCTCGACGAGGCCGCTGACGTGCTGGCCGCGGAGGCCGTGCGAATGACCG